GTAGTTGCTGCAGTGAGAAGACAGTTGAATAATTACTTTCAAATACATAATATATGCATGACCTTACCCGGGGCAGATTGGACCTCTTCCTGGAATGGGATTGGTGCTCCATCCTATTTTTACCCAGGAAATAAGTGCAGTTGATCTAATGACAGTGTCATTAGCACACAAAGGTATTTATTGATTTCATGTTCACAAATTCAAACCTACATGGTATAATTACATTTTTTATTAGTCTTTCCTGATCAGACGCTGGTTGTGGGTGCCTGAGAGGTCTGATAAAGGTAAACAAAAAATATATTCAAACTACTGTACTGTTAAAACATTCTGCTTCTTGTGGCACAAAATAATATGTTGACAATGTTTTATTTTACCCAGGCAAACTGTTGTTGATTCTTGGAGTGCTCACTTTTTTGAACATTTGGAATGTCTCACACCTGCATACACACAAATGACTCACTGAAATAAGAATAAATTCACTTTAATTAAGAATAAATGCCACGATAAATCCAAACTGACCAAGGTACATTATATTGTTGACCATCCTTTAACTCTCACATTAGGATTTACATTGGGGCACAATAAACCAACTCCTCTCTGCACCTATAATATATCTATATGATGTCAAGAGTTACATTTAGGTGCACAATGCTGTCTCTTGACTTGCAAGCTCTTTTACCAAACAAGCTAACGCTAGCTGGGTAAATATGACGCTCTTTGTATAAAAACAAAACAAAACTTACCTTCTTATATATCGATTTTGTCCACTTCGATCAACTTTGTTTTCTCCGGCTTCAATTTCCATCACTCTCGTTCGTTCTCTCTATGTCTGGTCAGACATCAATCTGTTCCACGTAGCGCGCCCCCTAGAGTCCTGGAGCATTGTGTGTTTTGGGGTTTGTATGTGTTTTTGACTTTGCATATCGTTTTTGTATTTGCAGCGTTTTTCTGTTGCGTTTGTTTTTCGGGGTTTGTGTGTTGTATTTAGTTTGCATCATTTCTGTAAATGCAGCGTTTTTTTGTTGTATTTGTTTTCAGGATTTGTTTGTTTTTCATTTCATTATTTGCAGCTGTTTCCTGCTTATGTATGCGTTTTTGGCCGTTGTTCCGCGTTTGCACCTGCCAGCCACCGTAGTGTTTTACATTTGAACATTTATTTGTGAGTTTGCAAATCTTTTAAATGCATTTGTGGATGGTGTTTTACATTTACAAATCACATATTTACACACAAATTATTGTTATGTTCACACAAATAATTATGAGACATATCTAAGCCCATATAGGAATATCACAAAAATATTTGTACCGATATCTCTTAATGTAAACCCGTAGAGCATTCACTTGCTTTTAGACAGTACATGTATCTCTTATTATTTAGTTGGAATGCTGATACAGCATTCCAACTATCTGTTATGCTACGCACAAAATTCTTTATTATTCCGCCGGGTTATTTTGCACCTCTTCTTCTCCCACATTCCACATCGCAGAAACTCCATTCAAACATCAAAACGTTCAGCTCGGTCGGGAATCGATGGCTATTACTTTTCTTATTCATAACTTTCATAATTCCAGAGATACATCCCATAATTCATCACATTTTTAACATGGAAGTCAATGGAGAAACTCTTCAGACTTGAACAATCTTCATGCAACTTCAACTGCTAACTGCTCCTTCATACTTTCCCTCAGAAACCTCATTCCAACTTTAAAATGTTACACATCTTTCTGACATTATTCATGTAACACAACTTTTAAATCTGATTCGTACTTTTAGAGATATTAAACATTGTTCAGACCTTTGTAAAGAGGCCTTCTTCAGATTTTGGAGTGTGTGATGTCACAGCTAGAGTAGAGGAAAGATTTAATTTTGCCTTAATATTTTCTTTTAAACCTGCCATAATTCCCAAACCCTACATTCCTGAGACATCATTTTTCATGAGAAACGTAGGAAAACATCTCGTAGCTTGAAAAATAAAAAATAATTAAACAAAATAATTAAACAAAATGCCTCTTGAGGGCATGAAGTGACAAAAACATTCAACATGTCTCCATTAAACTCCATTGTAAGTTCAGCCTCATCTTTCCCCACCACAGCAGCCGCACACCTTTAGTTAATCTGCCAAAAATGCCACATTATTAACCCGAAAGTACACAAAAAGTGCTCAAGTTCCTTGACATGCTTCACGCTTTGAAATTTCACCGATATCTGTTACGGTTCTTCAACAAAACGTTCACATGTACGAGGTTTATCTCTCATTCAGAACAATGAAAATGCTCTCCTCTCACTGATTACTGCACATCACCATGGAAACCTTTGATCTCTGGACACGTCGTTAGCTCAAATATAAACACCTGTGTCATGGAACACGATGATGTCATAACTCCAACTGACATGCTCAGAGCAGCAGACTTCAGATAATGGTTAATGGTCCTGCCCTCAACAGCTCTACGTCAATTATGGGGTGTCATCATATGCCGCGTCCCTCGCCATAAAACACGATGTCGCTGTAACTCCAATGGACACGGTCCGATCGTCCCCCAAACTTCGCTTGTATATCACCGGTCCATGCCTCGACAGCTTAACGCCAAATCTGAGATCTCACCATAGGCTGTTGCCATGGAAACGCATCCCTCGCCATAAAACACAATGTCGCTGTATGCCTATGAAAAGGGTCAAAACAGCACCACACTTCAGATAATGGTTAACGGTCCAGCCCTCAACAGCTCTACGTCAATCATGGGGTTTCATCATATGCCGTTTCCATGGAAACGCATCCCTCGCCATAAAAGACGATGTCGCTATAACTCCTATGAAAATGTTCAAAAAGTGCTCAAATGTCACATGTGTGCTAACAGTCCAGCCGTGAAGACATCTACGGGACAGTTTTGAGATTTCTTCAAATGTCGTTGCCATGGCAACACAATGCTCGCCATGAAACACGGTTTTCTCATAACTTCAGTGAAAATGCTCCAAACGGCCCAAAACTTCACAGGTTTGGTAACGATGCAGCCATCAACGCATCTAAGCGTATTATGGGATGTCATCAAATGCCGTTGGCATGGCGACAGATCATTCGCCATTAAGTTAGTTCAAAAGTTTGCAGTTCAAATATTCTGTTGCTTTTCCAAGCCTTTTTACTTTCTTTTCTTCTCTCATCACACATTCAAGCCCCCAGTGTTCATGTATAATTTCAATCTAAATTCTTCACTTTCTTCTTACACATTACATTTCAGCATAGCAGTTTAGCGTCAGCTTTTCAGCATAAAGCATTCCCACTAGCAATTTCTTCAGGAATTGCATTCTCTAGTTTTTAATGTTATTTCATAGTCATATTTAATATACTACTGTGACTATTCAAAAATTACATCCTGTTTACTTATGTAAATGTTTTTATTTTGTATTTTAAAGCGGATTTAGCTATATGAACTGAATGTATTATTATTATTATCATTATTATTTCTTATTTTAGTACTATTATCTTCTAATCATATAATTTATAATTTATTATTGAATATTTATTTTGTCACCTGTTATCACAAGATAGCTAACCAATAACACATTTTCTTTCGGACCTACGTAAGCGTTTCCTTCCCTCTGATTGGCCTAGCCTGGTGTCCAGCCAATCACACTTCTCAAGCCTAAACATAAACCCAAACAACTCAGGTGTGACTTACTTCCAAGATTGGCTAGTTTAGGTTCATTCAATAAGTCAGTCAGTCAGTTGGTCAACATGAATAAATGAATATAAAACATAACAAATCTGTATAATAAATAAAACATAAAATGAATGTTTTTTTTCCATGTGTGTTTTCTGCAAACTGTAATTTCAGAGAAAAACTGAATATAATAATAATAATAATAATAATAAAGAATATGTTTTCAGAGACTGATCTCACTTCAAAATGACAGTACAACATCTGTAATTGTGAAACTTCCTGTTATAACAGACTAATATCACTGAGGATTGATATCAGACCATCTCATTTGTCACTCAGACAAGACATTCTGACTTGGAATTTCAAAATTAAAGCCCTATAAAATGACCTATTAGTGCAATATTTGTATTCAGATTGATAGCAGACCACCTGAACTTCCATGACAAGACCAACACCAACAACATGTTTGTCCATCTGTCATCACCCCTGACTTCCCTATGTTGTCTGTGACTCTCAGGCCCATGCCATTGGTTCCTACTTGAAGACCTACATTCTTTAAAGGTCCCATGACATGGCCATTTCTACTGATCATAATTCCATTGTTGAGGTCTACTAGAATAGATGTACATTGTTCAATGTTCCAAAATCACATTGGTTTCTCATACAGCATCTCTGTATAGTATGTGTATTCACTCTCTGTCCTAAACGGCTTGGATCCGCGGCTGAGAAAAGATAAGGCTGAGTGAGTGTGTGTGTGTGTGTGTGAGGAGCTCCGCGGATTGGTCCATTTGGACCTGGATGGTTACGTCACTATACTCAGGAAGAAAAAAATGGAAAAATGGAAAAATGGAAAAATCTCCAACGAGTCGTTCTGGGGCAGCACAGACAGGTTTCTTTTTTTTGCTAAAGAAAGAAATGCAGTTTCTAACAGTGTTACTTGAACAAAAATAGTGATAGATTTGTTGGGGACTTTGTTAGAGGCCAATTAATTAACACAATTGAGCATTTATGGCATGTTTCATCCACTTTTATTGTATTAAAGAAACGTCAATCAATGTAGTGTGGATTACAGGTGTATTATTAGTCAAAAAAAAAAATATATATATACGCTGAATACTTTGCTTAATGAGGTTTGCCACACATGAAATTTAGATTTAAGTATTGCTTTTTTCTGGAATTTGTTGAAAAATAGAATACACCATGTCACAACCTTATATTTTAGATTGATGATATTAACTGTGACCCATGGTACGGTACCACCTGGAGGAGCACAGGGACTTTTATTTTGAAAGGCCTCAGAGCGAGAAAAGGAAGACGGTCGGGAGCGCGCTTTGCTCCTGCGTAGCGGGACTGCGCCCGGGCGCTGATCTCGGTGTGACAGCTCAGCGCTGTCCACGTCAACACACCGAGCGAGAGAGCGAGCAGCGATGGACTCCACGTCTCCGGTAAGAGCTCTCCGCCGTGACACCGGGCCGGGGCACCGGCTCCTTCACTTTACTGTCCCGGTGCTGTTTATGCTCTGCAGTTTGTGCATTCTCCACTGCTTTTAATATAGCGCAGGGGGGGGGGGGACATCTGTTGCATTATGGCTGATTCGATTGGAGGGGGGGGGGGGGGGGGGGTCTGCAGACTGTTCTTAAATCAGGGACAGGTTGAGTTATTCCTTAATTAATGACCGTGAGTGTGACCTGATCCTATTGCTGTGAACGCGCAGGCCTGATCGCACTGTTTCTCGAGCAGCTGGGATAGACACACTTTTTCTTCTTCTATGCGTGTAATAATAGTAGAAACCGGGCTGGATACAGTGCGACAATTTATAGCGTGTTAACTTAACTCCATTATAATAGAGAGTGCGAGCCGCTGCTGATATCCACTTATCACCGAGAGACCAGTCAGAGCGCAACAGGAGGATCAACAGACTGGTGAGACCCGGTCCGAGACTAAGTCCGAGACTAAGTCCGAGACTTAGTCCGAGACCCAGTCCGAGACCCAGTCTGTCTACATCACTCATGGCGTAGTTAAATGTGTGCTTGTGGTGAGCATATGTGCACAGACCGGTTGACGTGTAGAACAGAGTGTGCCACGTCCACCTCTCTCTCTCTCTCTCTCTCTCTCTCTCTCTCTCTCTCTCTCTCTCTCTCTCTCTCTCTCTCTCTCTCTCTCTCTACATTTTCGATTTTGCTTTATGGTTGTATTGTCACGACGTTATGGTTCAAACATGTTGTGAATAATGAATTTGAAAGAAAACTAAATAAGAAAACAACGCTAAAACAATGAAAAGTGATTTACATTGGAGCATTTCTTGCTTTGTGACAGAATATTGTGAAATAGGCTCTATTTTGAGGGTCAGAATGTATGGGATTTTCTGGTTGAATTTTTTGATTTCTTTGTACTTTGGACGGCTTATGAAACATGAACATCGGTCTCAACTTCTCTTATTCCACATGGATGCAAATTGTCTTTATTTTTTCTAACCATTCTCTCTTGGCGACCTGTGCCAATAGCAGTTTAGCACAGTTCTCTGAGTCTTTATCTAATCAGGGTTTGTCTTTTTATAGTTGCTTTTATTTGGGTGAAATATTGGATTTCTGCTTTTCACTTAAGCTGAACAGCCAATCAGATTGAGAGATTTGCTGGCGAATCATCCTGGTAAATTGGGCTAAAAGTTGCTAACAAGGGCCAACAATGGCTGACTAGTACCAATGGCGCTTGACACATCGCAAGAACTGGGGTGGAAGGCGCTCATTGGACAGGCTGCTGGTCTATAGGCTTGGTTTGTCACGGACTAAACACTCACTATGCTCAATTCACACCAAGCCGGACCGGTGTGTAACGACGGCTTGTGTATCTGCAGTGCTACGATTTGTGTTTTCCCTTTTTAAATAAAGAATACAGATAACTAAGTGTTTTGTTTCAACACATTTCACACACTTAAGTTAAATCTGTTGACATAATACATTTAATTAATTTCAACGTTTCCGTTTTTTCTCTTTACCGCCACTTGCTGGTATGGAGAGTTATTTCCTCTAAGGCAGGCGCAGTCAGAACATACAACATACATGCCCTCCAGGTGTTGTCTTTTTGGTGTGTTTAAGTGCCTCTTTTTGGCCAAGACACAGACACATGAGGCAACACAACCATTGGCTATGTGGAAAGAAGTTCCTTGATGTCTGTTTGTAGGCCTTCAGAGCCTTACTTGGTCTGTTATGGCCGGCAGTGTCTGATGTCTAAACTAACCTTAAATTGATTTCACCTTGTAACAAACCTGAGTGTACATGATTATTTGCGTCAGCCGTGTAACATCCCTGAACTTACTTTCTGACCCAAGGCCTCTTCTACTTTTGCAAAGTTAAATTAGGGTTTTCACAATGAGCAAAGCCCAATTCCAGCATTATCCTGTATTTGCAAGAACAGATAAATAGTTGACTAAAGGTAAGTAAGTATGTGCTTTTCCTAAATAATAGTTTTGAATGTGCAAGTTTCAACTTTGAATGGAGTATTTTCATGTTGAGTACCAGTGTTCTGTGCAGGTTGAGTCACTCTCTGCAGAATCTGAGCCGTGCACTGCATTCCAGTTTGTAATGTTTCCAGTCGTAATGCGCCCTATTGCTCCTTTTAAAAAGTTAACAAAAACTTGGCCTTGGAAATGCATTTCCTTTAAAGGTCCCATGTCATGGCCATTTCTACTGATCATAATTCCATTGTTGAGGTCTACTAGAATAGATTTATATTGTGCAATTTTTCAAACTCACATTGGTTTCACATACAGCATCTCTGTATAGTTTGTGTATTCACTCTCTGTCCTAAACGGCTTGTTGGAGCTCCTGCCCCCCCCTCCCTATGAGCCCAGTGTGCTCTGATTGGTCAGCTCGCCCACTCTGTTCTGATGAGTCCACCACCGTTACAGCGGAACATCAATGATTATGTGTTACAATGGCGTTAGCAACCAGAAAATGACACCAGCAATAGGCGCGTTCATACCAAGTACTTTGCCGTATTTAGTGCCGGCACTCAGTGCCCCGGCACTTATTACCCCAGGGCATTTAGTACAGATCGCGTTCCCTGAGGGAAGATTACGCAAATGAGCCGCTGACGTCACTTCGTCTTCTTCTGCTTTCGGTTTACTGGCAGGCCGCAAACAACTTCACGGCGTATACTGCCACCCGAAGTCCCTGGCCGGAAGTCCCCGGAGTTGGAGACTGGCTTCAGTCGAATGCTAATGCTAATAATGCTAATGCCAGGATAATAAAATGGCGGCTCTACAAAAGAGTTGTACGGGGCGTGGTTTGCAATTCGCCCAGCCAATCAGAACTGGGGCACTTTTTTCCCCCAGGAAAGTACGATCTCTCAGCAGGCACTAAAAATGGGGGTAAAAGTTCCTGAGATTAAGTGCTCTTTTTGGTGTGAACGCGACATAAGGGGTACTAACGGAACTAAACGCGAAAAGTACGGTGAAAAGTACTCCGGTGTGAACGCGGCTATTGACAAACAGATGAGAATGCTGCGTGGGGTCTGGGTGCCGTGTTGGCGGCACCCCCAGCACCCCTACTTCCAGCGGCTATGTACCTCATCACTCCACCGCTCCCATGTTTTCTTTTGTGTTGCCATAAGTTAGTCTCTCTTCGTTGGTGCGCTTCGTTGGCTAATGCTAATGATATTAATGCTAATGCGAGCAAATAAAATGGCGGCTTCACAAAAACTTTTCTGCGTTTTACGGGCGTGGTTTGCAATTCGCCCAGCCAATCAGAAATTGGAACCTTTTCCTCCCCAGGAAAGTACCACCTCTCTAGCAGGGACTGAAAAGGGGTGAAAAGGTTCCCGAAAAAAAGTTCTAGTTCCAGATCTTTTTGGTGTGAACGCAAAATCCCAGGAACTATCGGAACTATTCCTGTGAAAAGTACTCCGTTGTGAAAGCGCTAATTGAGTCAAACAAGCTTCTTATTGAGCTCTGAAACTAATGCTGATGTTGGTATGTATTTCATTTATTACTTCTTCAGACAATAGACAGTCACCTCCAGTGACGTCGTTTTTTTCTTAGGTATTTAACATATACAATATGCTGAATTTATTTGTTAACCATCTAGCTGCGTATTTCAAGCAGTCATTTTAGTGATACGGTGTGTTTATCATCCTCCGTCATTTCATGTTAAGAGCGAATCTCTTGAGGACAGGGCAGGGCCGACAATCATTAGTGAGGAAGTTAAACCTTAGTCCTGTACAGTAGTGACATATATTAAACCTCAAAACTGCACGGTTGACGGACCCAACTGATCCAACTAGCATGCTGTTATACTAACCATTTGGAGTGACGATGGTCATTATTAAAACATTAGACAAGTTTGAAGAGTTTAAGTAGGACAGACGTTTTTAGTTGTTACCTAAAGTTTCTCTGTGGAGTTTTCTTATATATGTTCATGTGTCTCATCCTTGAGACCTGACAAACTTCTGGAGTGCATACTGTAAAACGTCTACCAAGCCAATATTTTGATGCATGGACGTATAAAGAGAACTGGATTGATACAACGGTGGAGGAGGGGCCCATTCTTTCCGTTGGTAACCATGGTAATGCCAGCTGAGAAAGTTGGATATTGGATGTCTTAAGTTCCTGGTCTAAGTTCTGTGATACACTCCGACTGTGAATCTATGCTAGTCAGTGCATAACAGAACTTTGTCCCGGCTCTGAAAACTCTTCACACTGAAGGACTGACGAATGGATGGACGGATGGACGGATGGATGGATGGATGGATGGATGGATGGATGGATGGATGGATGGATGGATGGATGGATGGATGGATGGATGGTCTATGGTCATCTCCCCTGCTGTGAATGAAATTCCACTACAAAGCTGAATGAACTAACATAATAAAAGCCTTGAGGTCTACAGACGAATGTTGAAATGGTTGGAATGGGCGGCTCATGTGTGCACAGGGTGTACAGGATAATAAAGTTTGATCCAACACACTTGTCAGGCATGACTGTAGCTGTGTTTTGATGAAGTAGACCTCTCCCGGAACCAGAAGTTTCCCTGAGGTGACTCAGCAAATGTTAAAGATGTCCTCTCTGTGTGTTGTTGCAGGAACCTTCTCTCTACACAGTGAAAGCTGTTTTCATTCTGGACAATGATGGCAACAGACTTTTGTCAAAGGTAAGAACCACAGCATGTTTAGGTCCATTAACTGCACATTCATCCTAATCTAACATTACAGTGGACCATCCGAAGCTTAAATGTGAATGTAAAAAATGTTCTAGTTCTAAAACCTCAAAGTCCACATTTTAGTCTAAGATTACTTTTAAATGCAACTTTCAATATTTAAGAAATATGCAATTGTTGCTCTCTTCCCAAGAGTTCGATAAGGGGATCTATTTCACTCTGATGTCTCACTCTTATAGTGTTTTAGGAGAGTGAACATTGAATGATGAGAGGAATATTAATAAGATTAATTTACAGAAAGTAAAGCTGCTATAGCGTTTCTCGGGATTCCCTCATGGCATACTCGGCCACTACCAACAGCTCAGAGAAATACATTTATAGACTATAGCTAATTATAAATTATGTATATTATCCAAAACAGGATGTGATTTGATGAAGATTTTAGGGATTCAAATTGTATTCAACTAATCCAGAGCGAAACTGCATCCGGCAGTGGCTCAGTCAGTAGACTGGGAGCTGTAGGGTCGCCGGTTCAAGTCCCCGACCACACCTAAAATATGGAGTGTGGACTGCTACTTGGAGAGGTCCCAGTTCACCTCCTGCCCTGCCGTGGTGCCCTTGAGCAAGGCACCGGACAAAAAATGTCACACTTAAACTAATAAAGCATCATTGTATCGTGTTCAGTAGATAAAAGCCTTAACCCAGCAGTGTTTATGTGTGTGTTTCAGTACTACGACCCTGAGCTCTACCCCTCCATGAAGGAACAGAAGATCTTTGAGAGCAACATTTTCAACAAGACTCACAAAGCAGACAGTACGTTGATGTGCCCTGCCTGTGTGTTCTACTGTACACTCACACACATCTCCAATGTCACCTGTTACACCTTCCACCTGCTGTTAGCCCAGCTTTTATCTCCACTATGCAGCCAAACCGTGCTGCAGTAGTACTAGGCCTAACATGTTAGTAAACCTTGAAAATCCAGTGACTTTTGGATTTGCTGCTAGCGTTTAAACCATTTATTGTCTGTTCAGGAAAAGATGACGGATACTCCTCAGCTGATACCTGAGTCTCTGCCCCTGGCCTTCTTATCATCATCCTCCTTTTGTTCTAGACTCCTCCTGCATTACTCCTTTTCTCCTCTTTTTTTCTCCCATGTCATGCTATATCTCCTTTCCCTCCCTCCCTTTGTCCCGCTCCTCCCTCCCCTAAGCATCAGTTGTCTCCCTCTCTCTTTTCTTGTTCTACAAATGATCCCACTTTCTTTTTCTTATTTTCCCTCACCTCCTTCCTTGCTTCCTCCCAAATGTGTATCTTTTTATTTTATTTTCTTACACATTTCCTACCTTTACTTCCTCCTGCCTTTCTTTATCCTGTCCCTTCTCTGTTGCCTCCTCTCGTGGTCATCTCCCTCTCTATTTCTTCTTCCCCCTTTCCTCCCTCTTGTAACATTCATCCCTCAACCTTTCCATATCTTTATTATGTGAAGAAGAGAGGTGAACCCATCCCTTTCTTCTTCTCTCTGCAGATGAGATAGCGTTCCTGGAGGGGATGACCATCGTCTATAAGAGCAGTATAGATCTCTTCTTCTACGTGGCGGGAAGTGCTCAGGAGAATGAGGTAGGTACAAAGTAGTTGATGAAATGAAAGTAATATGTGCATTTTCAAATAACGATAAATTAATGGTATTTTAAAGGATCTTTGTTACAGTGTGTGAAGGTATAAATTCAAAGCACTTTACAACACCCATTAGCATTAACCCGTTCACAGACACTGAACACTCAATATAGCTGGGAGGGCTTTTTTTTATTTCATGCAGTAACACTTGCTTCACCTGTTGAGAAATTCTTGCAGCAGTTTTGACTGAATAGGCTCTGACTAAGCCACTGAGCTACCTGTCCAACCCCAGACTGCAGACAGAGACTAACTGGGGAACAATCAGGAGCATTGAGCAGCTTCCCTTAGGAGGTGGTGGAGACCAAACATAGAGCTAAAATAAATGTGCCAGCATGTTGGCCGCTGCAACCTTTACAAAGTTTAAGTGTATTTTTATTTTAAGGGTTTTCAGCTGTCGCCTACTAAATGGCCAAAACATTCATTTTACGTACACATGACACAGACGAATGCTAGTGTTGCTCTGTCTATGCTGGATGTGTTAATATGCAATAATATGTGAACACACCATATCAATCAATGGGGGATTTTAAGCCTGTTATTGAATTTTGTTGTGAAATTTAAAAAAAAGTAAGTGTGTCTTCAGAATCTAGCTCAAGCATTATTTTCTTGTTCTCTCTCTAGCTGATGCTGATGTCCGTACTGAACTGCCTGTTTGAGTCCCTCAGTCAGATCCTCAGGTAAATCTCTTGTGGTGTCTGACAGATTTACGGCGCAGAATAATAATGACGTTTCTTTTACAGACTTACATTCTGTATATATTCCATACACATGCACTACAATGATCATAAAGCACTGTCATGCATGCAGCCTCTGAACATTGCCATCCCCCCACCATAGCCTCTCAGATAGGTCTCCATTTTGAAATCAAAATACAGAACTTTGTAAAAGTTTCACAATTAGGTATCACAATGATGACAAAATAACACCTGGTGCTCATTTGTAGATACATATTTAATATTTTACAAAGCACCTCTTAGGAAACAGGTGTTGTTCATGTTAAATTACACTCCAGCCATTGACCACACGATGAATGACCCTGATATAAAAGTTTGACATTTTTAACTAGAAAATGTGTTATCCACCTCCCGAAAAACGACATCCTAAAAAACAACGTAAAAATGTATTTGCTGTGAAGCACATGTGGAGTTGATAACTTTGCTAACGTTAGCTTACTGCTACAAATGAACAGAGCCAAACTGTTTTAAGCTATACTGTGTTTACATTGTTTCCTTCTTAAAGAAATCCCAATAAAACCACACACTTTCCTTTTTACTTTTATACAAAACAAATATTTGACTTTTGGACTCGGCTAGCTTTTCCCCCTGATAACAGTGATGCTGCTAAGCTAAGCGTCTTGCTCAAGCATCCAACGTGTTTTATAGAATATTAAACTGTTCCTTTATGTTAAGTTGAGGCCATGTGAAATACAGATAGTAATAGTAATAGTAACATAATCAAGATTGTTTGATTTGTTCTGCAGGAAAAACGTGGAGCGGAGGTGTTTACTGGACAACATGGAGGGAGTGTTACTGGTTGTGGATGAAATTATTGATGGAGGGTAAGACAGTGTGTGCAGCTGTTTGGACGTACTCAACAAACTAACTTAGGAATTAGCTTTGCTCAGTTAGTCCTTTATTCATTTGAATTGTTTTGTCTATAAAGTCACGCTTGTTTTTTATCCCGTCGCCAGGGTGATCCTGGAGAGTGATCCGCAGCAGGTCCTACAGAAGGTCAACTACAGGGTAAGAAGACTGTCAGTCACTCTACGTTGTAACAAGTGTTCATTGATTTCATGTGAACAGAAACCATATAAAGAAGCTGTTAGCGTGTCCTGTTCAACCTCACGCGCCAATCTTACTCTTCTGATTGGTCAGCTAATGTCAAAGCCAGCCTATGGCTTCGAACTTGTTATTTACATCACAGATAGGGATTCAAAGGTTTATTGTCATATCGTATACCCAACTACGGTGTAGTATGTAATGAATGAAAAACTTGGGTCACAGGTTCCTCAACAATGCAATAACGACATAAAACACCTTTAAATAAACAACAACAATTAAAATAGTGCAAGCTCATAGCAAGGAGCCAATAGGGTGGTGCAGTGATGATGCATTTGTATAGGCCGATCCTTGATTTAGCATCGCAATGGCTCCCTCAAAAGAGCAATAGGATCTTTCTTTACGATGTTGGAATATTGAAGAAAATAACATCTTTGGTGCACAAGCATTTATGGTATTTACACTTTTTGTACAACAGGATCATATACACATACTAACAAAAAATGTATAATAGTTTAAGCGTAAATACAATCTCCAGAAGTAAATAACAAACGTATTGCTGCAAACCAACGACATCAGTCGCACAACTTCGCGTCACCACCGCTAAGCTAAAGGCGGCTAACGCGTGGCGTGATGACATGTTGCAGACATGTATATGTGAGTGGAGTATGAACTTACATATTTGATGTTGTATAACATTAAAATTGCTCAAGCTTGGATCTAACCAAAAACATTTTCAACAAGCCATTGACTTTAAGACGAGGGAACCCAGAAGTTCTTAAATTCTAACTTATTTCCAGGTTTTAGGACTGAATCCTGCACCACACTATTGCGTTGCTATACATTCACATATGGGTTGTAATTGGCTGTGGATGTCTCTACAGTATATGATGTTATATCTGATCTAGTCCTGTTTGTGCTGCTCTACTTCTGAGTTGTGAGTGTGTATCAAGCAGTTTGCATCATTTTTGCATTTTCCTTTTTCCATAATAATGTCATTTTGTTGTACAGGCGGATGACAACCCATTATCGGAGCACAGCGTGGCCCAGGTAACACACTCCTACACCTTAATGACACTAAATGTGTACACAATTGCATATGACAAACACACATTTAGTAAGTGCACTAAAAAACACACAGAAACACACATATTGTATATTAATGAACACATTTCCCAGCAACAAGGGGTGCTATAATGTTTTGTCATTTTACTGTTTAACGTATTCCTGCTCGGAAGTTAGGAAAAAAGGAACAAAAAGGGCACAAATGACAAACTCCACATTTATCATAAATGCAAATGCTAAAAACATGTCTGACTTGATATGACCAAGTTCTATGCACATGAAACATCAGCCACTCATACACACACATAATGCTCACTGTGCACATTGCATGTGGACCTTATGCTTATTATTAGCTTGTTATTAGCTTCTTTGTCATACCGTTATCATTAAGTGTGCTTGTGTAATGTGACAACAATAGCTCACTGCTTTCTGGAAAATTAACTCTCCCGGCTGCATGCCAACGCTTTTTCTAACCACGCATGTTAAGCTAGCAGCTAGAATGGTGATGGATACTAAATGGATTAAGCACTGTAGCTCCCTAAATGCTTCACAGATGTAAAAGTGATCACTCCTCTGCTATTAATATTAGATTGAATAACATTCCATCACCACAACAGTGTTTTTCTGATATGCTTCCCTTTTTCTGCTTTCTGCTGGTGTGCAGAAATAAGCATGTGTGTGTGTGTGTGTGTGTGCTCATGCTCTAAGCTGTTCTGTATCTGTTGCTTTCCTGACAGCACATAACAGAGAAGCTGGCTCTGACCACTAACGTAAGTCTCTACTAACTTCACACCAGCCTTCACTGCACACCGCACGTTGCTCTGTTCTGCCTAACACTTATGATACTATCACTACTGAACAGTAGCACTCTGTTAGAAGTGTCTAAAGGTCAGATCAATTGAATTTAGAATGACTAGCATGTGTAGGAGAACACAAAACAATAGGTTACGCAATATTTACAATAGGTTCATTGCTCTAGCAGTTTGGAGGTAAGGACTCCAAGGTTGAGAAACTCTGCTATAGAGTGGTGCAGGAATGAGTCCTAAACCTGGAAATAAGTTAGGATTTTAGCATTTCCGGGTTCCCTCGTCTCGAAGTCCATGGTTTTTTTTAACGTGTTTTTGGTAAGAGTCCTAAAATAAGGTCTGTGGTTAACACAAGCGTAAGAGATTGTTATGTTTTGTTCTATGGCATTAAATCATCAGTAAATACCCCTAAGTGAGACCACTAAACGCCATCAGTCCGAACATTAGCCGCCTTAGCTTAGCGGTGGTAATATGAAGTGTTGCAACCGTTATGTGGTTTGTTTTTAGCCTAACCGTAGCTTTTTACTTTTGGCAATTGATTCAACTATATAAAAGTGGTGTTAATATGTGGATATTATGAACAAAACGTGTTAAACGTGTGTTTGCCATAGATTCCCATTTACTTTGGTCGAGGGAGCCCTTGTGATGCTAACTTCAGGGTCAGCCTACAAAAAGACTTCATCACCGCACCACTCTACAGACTAAAGTAAAACATGACATGCCAAAAGGCTCCAGAAGCTTACAGCAGGGGTTTGAAATGGAGGAGTTTTTATACTGAGCGAGCACACACATGCAAATATGACACATAAATGTTTTAGTTAATTACTGATGACATGTATAAGCTTGGGGGAGAACCACATTGAGATGATGATGACTAACTCATGCGTTGGATATGTCCATTTAATTAAACAATAGCTCAAAAATGATCATAAGTGTTAAAGGTACCCATGCTTCCGAAAATAATTATGATTATATAATACTAAAATGTACACCTGCTATTCAGGATTAGCATCAGTTTGGCAGAAGTTTGTTTTTAGACTTATGTGACTGCATTTCCCAGCATCCCACACTGCAGTGAATGGCTTCTGAGTTCCATGTGCCCCCTGCTGTTTAAATGAAGAACTACATGCTCAGTCCTTAAATAAGGTCTTGATTAAGAAGTACAAATAACTACAGTTGATCATGTACATCTTTTGACAAAAAAAAGATTGGTAACAAACTCGAGAGGCTTATTTTAGACATTCTTTTGATTTTAGTGACTTCTGTTTCTCAGTGACCATTCACCCTTGTTATTTCCCTGTATTAAAGGTAGGGTAGGTAATTCACTTCAGAAACACTTTTTGTTATATTCCATGGAATGCTCTTAATTACATTTCATTTAGCTGACGCTTTTATCCAAAGCGACTTACAATTACCAATTACAGGGACATTCTCCCTGGAGTAACTAAGGACTAAGTGCCTTACCCAAGGGCACACTAGTGGTGGTGTTCCTGGCGGGATTTGAATTCACAACCTTCCAATTTTCAGCCCACCTCACTATCCATAGACCACCACTATCATCCCGATAGCAATGAATATATTAAATGCTTTGACAATAAATATATACAAATATTTCATCTGTGGAAGCCGTGGCGCTGTAAAAAGCAAGTCCAATCATCTGAGCCGGCCCGGGTCAGATGACTGGATGGCCTACCTGCCTGTAAGCCTTCCATCTCGTGCACAAATTTATCTCGTGTCCTCATTGGTCATGTGCGCGTTCGTGTGTGTTGGAGGAGGGGCTCTGTAAGGAAGTTGTGTACTTTCAAATTCTAGAATACCTTTAAGTATATGAATTATTCCGTCAGAAAATCACTGAATAATTTATAGGAATTGTATTTGATCATACTGAGATCGACTGAATCAGCCGTTTGAAAAAGTTTAAAAATAGATTTGACTTATCTGATTGTATATAAAGAGGGGTCTTTTAAATGGCCAAATGACTCCTACCTTAAAATGTGTCTGCTTAATAATCATTGTTATGATCGTAAACACGAGGCTGGACAAAACAAAACATTTCTCAAAAATAATGTAAAACGTGTAAATGAACCTTCCTGTCCCTGTGTGAACAGAGTGTGACCTCTAGTGTTTGAACAGTGCTACTGCAACACTGTACAACTTGTATACACTCACTCCAAACATGTGTTTTATCATCAAAATAATTATCATTGGCATACCGTTTGCTTTCCATCTCTAAATGACAAACCCTGGTTATGCATTGTAGAAATGTAATACAAATATTTTTGATCTGAAAATAATTATCACTGCCAGCCAAACATGTTTTTTAATGGTTCTCTCACACAAAAATCAGGCTTTCCTTAGTTAACTGCATCATTTACAAGACTTCTCATAATGTACTGTATTATATTCCGAGGTGGAAGAAGCATTCAGTAAAAATCCAAAAACCAATCTACTACCAAAATAGAAAGTAACGGACATAGGTTACTATATAAAAAGTCTTATTTGACCTATTTATGGGCATAATGGCCCATTTCCGTATCATATTAGATTACTGGATTATAACAAGTGATGCATTCATGTGTTTGTCACAGCTGGTAAATCTGATCCTATTTTAGTGATTTGTATACATCACCTGGGTATTTGAACCTATACTTATGTCAATGCTCATGTATGAGTTGATCTACTGTATATTTGTGTGTCTGAATCTGTAAAGTAACTCAAGCTCTCAGATAAATGTAGTGAAGTATAGAGTAATACATATCAATACATTCAAACACTGATTACATTTCATATTTAATGTGGTTTAGGTTTTAATTTGTACTGTATTTTCTTTTTTGCTGTATTACATCTTGCTAAATTATATGTGTCTTATCTTCTTTTGTTCTTTCTTTCTGTGTACCAGGTTCTGCAGTCGGCCAAGGAGCAGATCAAATGGTCCATACTGAAATGACCCGTTCTAATTCTTATGTAAGTCTAGGAGTGAAGAGAAGGTGGCTACAAGCCTTTTAGCCAAGAGGCTGCTTCTAAAGCACTAACCAGCCAGTAGTAGACATTTTGTGTTTTGGCCTTTTGTTACATTGTGTTTGACATGTATTAATTTATTTGGTTTGAGAGAGTTATGTTAGTTCATACTCTTGTAGATTTGTCATTTGACGGGCCAAAGGACATCAGGGAAAGAAAGGAGAAGACTTGGTTCCAGCTGTGCTTCTGTAAAGTTTGGTTAGTGATCAATAACTTTTATTTTGAAATCAACTTTTATTTGGAAAAAAAAGAAAAATACAGCTTTTTCCCAAAATGTTACAATCTATTTAGGGAAATAAACATTCATTTTCATCTTAAATCAGAATAGATACTGGAAAAAAGTTAAATATCACATCACAAGATAAAGGTATTTTCATTTGAAACATGTCATTTACAAAAATATAAGTTCAAATCTTTTGTGCACTGAAATGCTGAGTTTAGTAAAGTTAGATTCATAGAGCCTTTTAAAGGAATGTAATGACGCCTTGTTATGACACTAAAGAAATGTTAGCACCATGTGGCCACATGTTACTGCGGCACTGTCCGGCAATCCTTCATTTTTTATAAAGTTGAATGATTATGAAGCTAAATAAGGATCCAAACATATCATTTTAATAGTCAAAGGGACATTGAAGGTTAAGAAAAAATGCAGATAATTTTATGGACAGAGTTATAAAGAATATAATGTGTATTTTCTGAAAGCTAGCTATTAAATATTTTCTTAGTTAAAAAAGCCAAAGACATTTTGTTTACATTTGGATGTTGTGAGACTGACGATTAATAAAACATTTGTCCTCATTCACAGTGTCCTCTTATTCCTGATTTGATTTCTTAATTATTTATTTTTTATTATTTTATTTTAATTTAACCAGATAAAAAAGCATTGAGATAAAATCTCATTTACAATGCAAAAAAATAAAAATCTTTTAGCTTTAATCCCAATGAAAAACAGTCATAATGTCACTAGTTTATAATGAATGTGCTCTCTGTCCAATCAGGATACAAATCTAGGACCCTTATGAATATTAACAAGCTTGTGGGTGTGGTCAGGGAGGTTATTGGTGGAAACGTAGAGCCGTCAGCAGACAGGTGCCTGCTCTCCCCCAGCCAATCGTTCGTTCTGCTTTTTTTTCTGATGGATGTGATTGGCTGCCTGCAACTGATCCAGAAACAGTCCCAGACTAAAAGTAATTTTTAACTGAGTAAAAAAAACACACAGCAGAGTAAAAGCATTAGAGCAAATAGTTTATTTATATTGGTAATCGTTGAAATAATTCTAATAAATACATGTTTAATAAAAACTATTATTATTTATAAACTTTGTTGACTGACTCGAAATAATTAGCTCAAAAGAAAAGTCTGTTACTGGTTAAAAAAAAAAAGGTTTCAATACATTTTCTGGTTCTAAATAAGTAATACTTATGAACAAAACTGAAAGAAATACACAAGTTAAAAAAGGTTTCTCATACTAGAAACAATCCTATTTTTATATTATGTAAAGCTAAGAAATGGATGCATTCACAAAAAGCCACTCTACTATCAGTATCACTTATTTAGTGATAATTAGAATAAATATAACACTGGATAAGAGTTGGGGGTTAGATCTTCTTGACAACAAAAAGACCACAAAAAGCTTTCATTAGACATTTCAAAAATGTTTCTGTTTATGATCTGTTGTTTCTCACGTTCACTTTTATTATGGAGAGCAATAATTCAGAGAGAGTTTCTCTGTCAGATCATTCGTCGAAATGGCCATTCAGTCACATAATCAGGCTCCTGACAGATTATCACTGCTCATCATTATTTAGGTTATTAAATCATAATTCATAATCACAATATCGATATACACTGACGAAAATAATGAAGAAGTAGCTGTAGGCCACGGATATGGATCTTATAGAATCAGCGACTGATCCTATAAGATCCATACCTTATACACAGCCATATCTGTCTCTGTTATGACTTTATTTATATATCGCCACTAGGTGGCGATCAACAACGCCCGGCTAGCTCAGTCGGTAGAGCATGAGACTCTTAATCTCAGGGTCGTGGGTTCGAGCCCCACGTTGGGCGACCATCTTTTGTTGCGACAATATTGAGTATAATGCCTCCAAATGCTGCTGGATAGGGAAGACACAAGATAACTACGTCCTTAAATGTGTGACATTGCAAAGATATTAAAGTATACGAATGTCAGAGTCTCCTATTTATTTCTTATAGATGTTCATTTACGTTTATTGCGTTTATACTTTTATTTGTTTCTTTTGTCTTTTACTTCATTCAGTTTGCTCCAGAGATAGGGAGATCCTTGCCTTCTTCTAATTGAGGATTTATCACAGTAGTCTGATCGATTCTACTCTATACTTTTACAGTCCTGCTTTAGAGTGCAGTTAACAGCACTCTCCACTAATTAACACATACAGAGTTATTCATGAAGAAAGATCTTTCAAGTTATCACAAGTTATTAAAAACACATATGAGAGACACATCTTATACTAAAACATGCATCTGTGAGGAGAATGTAACATTACTGACAATAGTTATTGCATCTAACAATTAGTAAATGCATATTTTCCCCAAAAGTTTGTGTTAATATGTATATCAGTTATGAATGCATATGAGTATTTGCTGAATCTTCTGAGAACCAGCAGGCAGACACATGTCAAACTTGATTTGATTTCTGCAGACTTGGGAAAGGCAGCCATTTGTCGCCATCTGGGGGTTTATGTCTGTCATGGAATGCAGTCCAATTCAGCATGAACACCATACCTGTTCAATTATTTATATGTACTGAAGTCGGACAAATATAATTCTTTCTCCATATGGTTTCATGAATTGGGGATCATCTACATTCCCAAATATAGATATAAGGCCAGTTGTAATGGAGACTACTTGTAAGTGGTTTTCCAACAGACCCTACCTTTCTATCTTCTTCCCTGCTCTTCAGTTTCCTCATTTTTTGTAACGCAACACAAAACAGATCACTGACACAATGCACACATCTCAAATGGCTGTAATGCTTAACAAATAGAGTACACAGCACACCATGACATCATAGTAAACCCTATGAGTAAAGCGTGGTGCTGCAGAGTTCGGGCTGTTTGACACTGTTTGTCCACGCAGATTTGCCATAGTTGTATTTATTGCACTGAAAAGTCTATGAAGAACAACAAGTGTTTTGCCTTCTCAATCATTTAACTCTGCTGAACCTTGAAGCATATGTGTCTGTAGGTAATCAGCTTTATTTATTTTTAAATACTTTGTTAGAATAGTTATTTAAAACATTTGGATATGGATGGTGGTAAATTGAAATAATGGCAATGCTAATCACATTAGCTTGTCTATGGCGTTTGCAATGTTAGGTTAGCATCCAGGCTAATGCTTGGTCAGCTGTGGTCTGTAGTGCATGGAAATCTTACATTTGTGTTTTAATGTTGTTCAAATTATTCAATGTTTGTTAATGTGAAAACAAGATAAACTCATTACACCTTGTAAATGTGTGTTTCTTTATTTCAGTTTTAGAAAAATGACTTTAAATATACATCCTAAACTTACCCACTGTCTCGTTTTCATTGAAGAAACTGTTAGTTATCTGCCAAACTAGATATCACATGTTCATTCCAGTTAGGACAGAAGATCGAACATTTCTTATTTTTAAGACCTATGTTTTATAATACTAAGACCTGTGTTTTGAATTGTGAATACCATGTGTCCTTTAATGAAGACATATGTCTTCTAAAGTGAATATTGTGGTGACACGTTATGGGACATAATTCACCGTTGGGAATATTGTGTTGCAACACGGACCCGTTAGTGAGGGTACCGGGGTTGGCGTCATTCATGCTAGCTTGAGTAGCAACAAGCAGATGTACTTACCGTGTCTTCTTTCTAATGGATAATAAAGTGTGGAGTTCCATACTGAACACACCGCCTCTGACTCCCTTTCATCAGCTCTACACTGGTGACCCTGACGTTTTCGTGAAAGTTTCCGAAGACTTAATGAACATGGCTGATCGCGATGTTTTTGTTAAGCTGCCGGAGTTTTGGGAGCATGCTGCTGCGGCGTGGTTCGCACACGTGGAGGCACACTTTGCCTGCCAAGTCCGTGACGGGGACTTGAAATATTTCCACGTGGTAGCAGCGCTGGGAAGCTCCACGTCGTCCAGGTTGGTTGGATTTATCGCAGACCCCCCACGCCATGGCAAATATGAGGCGATTAAGGCCCTTCTCCTTAAGACATTTAGCTTATCTGCTAAGGAGAGGGCCCGCCAGATTCTTGACATTCAAGACCTAGGAGACAGCAAGCCATCTCAGCTCATGGAGAAAATGCTGAATCTGCTGGGGGGGGGGAGATCCCCGGATTTTGTTTATGGAGACGCTCCTTCCTTGGCTGAAGAGGCCGACCGTTTTTTCCTGGCTACCCAGCAGTCCGGTGCAGAGGCGCTAGCTGTGACGCTCAGTGCCCCCTCACCAGTTAAGAAGGCATGGGGGAGGCTGGACGCGACGGTGCCAAACCGGCGTGGGGACACAGGAGTGTTTTTACCACGCGCGGTTCGGGGCCAGGGCGAAGAAGTGTATCGCTCCCTGCAGTTACAAACCTCCGGGAAACGGGGGAGCCGGCGCTCAGTAGTGGCCCTGAGCGTTGGCGGCACGAGCAGGCTTCTCTTCGTCAGCGACAGAGTCTCGGGAAGCTTGTTTCTGTGTGACACGGGCGCTCAACGGAGTGTGGTTCCTGCGTCGAGGGAAGATGTCGCTCGTGGGGGACACGGACCGCGGTTGACGACGGCTAATGGCGGCCCCATTCGCACGTACGGCGTGAGGCCTATGTGTTTGTGTATTGGAGGACAGCGGTTCAACTGGGATTTCGTGACGGCAGACATTTCTTTTCCCCTCCTCGGGGCAGATTTTTTATGTGCTCACAGACTCTTAGTGGACGTTAAAAATCAACGCTTGGTTGATGCCTTGACGTTTTCCTCCCTCGTGTGTACGCTTGGCAAGGCGGCGTACAACGGGCTGTCGGGCTCGCTGTCGGGGGCGGACACTTTTCTCAGGCTGTTGGCTGAATTTCCAGACCTGACGCTGCCCACCTTCTCTGCGCTCACCACCAAGCATGGGGTGGAGCACCACGTCACCAGGGCCAGGGCCCGGCAGTTGAACCCTTCTAAGCTTGCAGTAGCGAGGGCGGAGTTTTCGACCATGGAACGCCTGGGTATCGTCCGCCGGTCTGACAGTCCTTGGGCCTCTCCTCTGCACGTCGTTCCCAAGCCGAACGGCGGTTGGTGCCCGTGCGGGGATTACCGCCATCTCAACGACGCCACGACACCTGACCGCTACCCGGTGCGGCACATTCAGGACTTTTCAGCGCACCTGGCCGGTACGCTGGTGTTTTCTAAAGTGGACCTGGTGCGTGGATACCACCAGGTGCCCATGCATCCCCTGGACGTTCCCAAGACGGCAGTGATAACACCGTTTGGACTTTTCGAGTTCCTGCGGATGCCTTTTGGGCTCAAGAATGCCGCTCAAACTTTCCAGCGCCTGATGGATTCGGTGCTGCGGGACTTGCCGTTTGTGTTCGTCTACCTGGACAACATACTCGTCGCCAGCGCTTCGGTGGAAGAGCACCTGTCCCACCTCCGAGCCCTTTTCACGAGGCTCAGCCAACACGGGTTGATAATCAATCCTGCAAAGTGCCAGTTCGGGGTGTTTGACATTGACTTCCTCGGACACCGCGTCACCAAAGGCGGTGCAGCACCCCTGCCGGCGAAGGTTGAGGCTGTTGCGGCGTTTCCTCGCCCGCTCACA